TTGGTGTGTGATAGATGCCAATGATGAATGGGATTGAGGCAACTAGAAGAATCAGGGATGTGGAGGGAGTATACAGTGTTCGTATGCCGATTATGGCGTTGACTGCACACGATAAGGGAGAGGAGATAGAGAAGATGGTTCAAGCTGGGGCAGATGGTTATTTAACCAAACCACTCAACAGAGAAAAATTTTTGAAAGCTATGTTTGAGACCAAGGGCAACAGATAAAATGTGTACTTTCAAAATGTCCCTGGTTTCTGTTTTTTGGTGACAATTTTATTGTACATGCCGTATATTGAGGATTCTTATGTCTTGGTTATATTAGGTAGGCCATACTCATCTATCATCATCATAGCTTTTCTACTAACATTTGCTTCTCTTCAATTTATCCACTTATGGCACAATGACAGGCGCATTTACGAACTTTTAAGTGAAAAACATAAAAAATAAAAACTGCCACAAAAGCATGACATTTGAAAATTTAGTACTTCAGTTATCCACCATATGGTTTCAAGTTTCAACACTAAGCCCAACTATATCTCGGAAAGTAAATTCTACAATAATTTATCTGATAATCATACATCTTGACCTGATTACTGCACCATTGTACTAAAAGCTCATCACTTGCAACCATCTAAATGTAGCATCTTCACATGACTTCGAATAACTAGTTAATTCACGTGGAATCATTAAAATATCAACATATGTTGAGTTGCACACGACACCTCAAAATTTGACAAAGTAAACTCGGCTTCTTAAGCATCAATAAAACGGATGTCGAACGTATTTGGATGAATCTGCCACGCATTCAAGGCTGCATATTCCTCTAAGCATTCTTTCAACTGGGCTCCGCTGTATCCCTGTGTTCACACCAATAAAGAATGTCAACTAAAATGAGCTAAAACATTGTTTAACACAATTTCTCATTCCCTCTAATTTACGGAACAGACACATTCTTTCCAGGATTACTGTGAGTATTAGACACCAAATCAACTAACTCAATGTTATACGTTCATGAAATGGTTTACCAAGCAGGATTAGCAGCGGCAAGAACAGCAGTCCTTGCATTTAAAGATGTAGTGATACCAGCTTTAGCATTGCTAACAGTTTGCTGCTCCATGACTTCGTGTATAGAAGTACGGTCTGATTCGTCCATTTTGTCAAACTCATCAATGGCGCAAATGCCCATATCTGCGAACACCTTATGAAAATAAATGGTGCTGAATAATGTATTGCTCGAATCTTGGTAAAAAATTAAGTTAACTTGTAGAAAGCTACTGTACCAGGGCTCCTCCTTCTAGAACAAATTCATTCGTCACTGGATCTTTATATTTAGAGAAAACAATACCAGTAAAATTAGCTTTATATTTCTACCTGAAGTATTTTCCACATACACTCCCACTGATTCAAATGACAGAAGAATTTTAGATAGGAGTTAATTTTATCCTCCCAATCACGGTAACATGAATTGGATTCGATTTTTGTTTTCTCTTAAGCTTACTTTTTACTAGAATTCAAAACTTGAGAAGCAGCATTAAGGCTGTGGTCTTATATACATTGCATCAGTCTATATACAAGAAAAAATTTGTTGGTCTCTAAATATATAAAATCTGTTACTTCTAGTAGTTATCATAAGAAGGTTTCAGTCTGTATACAAGAAAAAGAATTTATACGTTTTTTATTTTTTTTTTTAATTTTTTTAGTTAACTATAAACGTATTCCTATTATACGGTTTCAAATATTTTTTTTAAAAACGTATTTCTAGAATCCGTTTATTAAAACTAGTGTATATCCCGTGCAATGCACGGAAGAGTTCATATTTTAAACATTTTTTAGACTTTATTTTAAATATAATTATTTATATTTTTCACATCTCATTTATTATGAAAATAAAATAAATACAATCAATGAAAAATATATAATATTAAATACTTTTCTTTATACAATATTTTTTATTTAAGGAATATTATTAAACCTTACGGTTTTGATTTGTTTTTTTAAATCAATAATCCAAAATATATGATTGTTAACGTACAAAAAATAATGGAAATAATCCAGACTTTAAAGTAAAGCTATTTTTT